AAACTGCTTAAAGAGGGCTGAAAGCCCTATGAAGCAGTATATAAGTCTAACTGCTATTGCTATTGCTATTCCTTCTTTTTTGAGCTCTTGAGAACAATATGGTTTAGGGACTAATACAATCAGAAGGGATACAAGACCACAATTCCAAAGATTAAGTGTTAGTGAACACCTTATCCCTTTCTGATCAAGTTTCATGCGACAGATCAGCTTCATTGGTGTTGCCAGATGTGCTGGGACTTTTATTCGTATGGATGGAAATTCTTTGAGTAGTAATCAAAACACGTCTAAGAGGATGGCAGATGAGGAAAAGTTGGAAGGAGAATATAAGCCAATTTTAAAAGAGCATGTGAGAATGTTGATCATACACTTTTAAGGAATTACCCTTGAAAGCAATCTTGTTTCCCAGGCAATTTATCTAAAAGATTATAGAATAGAGGTTTCTATCTTTAGCATCTGAGTGGTGCGCTGTAAATAGTGCTTTGAGGAGGAGGCTCAGAATCAAACATCAAGGACAAAAAGTGTTGGAGTGGCCTTTTGGAGACCAGGATTCAGAGCACTGATGATAAGCCAGGTTGCCAAACTGACTGAAGGAGGAATACCTAGTGTACATTCCACCACACTGCTGCCGCTGTTGTTTTTTTAGACCACAAAAACTGCAGCACAACTGAAAATTGGAAATGTTGATGTTTTCAGCGCAGCTTATCATCACTGGAAGTGTCTAAAGTTTAAACTGAAAAACTTAATTGGTTTCACATATAAAAAGTTATTGCAAGTTCCAGGAAGTGTTAGTTGTGGGAATAGAGTTAGACAGGGCTTTGGTAGTAATCTGCTTTTGAGGCAAATCTCAACAAGCAAGCAGGTGATAAGCCTTTGTTAATACCATTGGGACAAAATGCTGCCGCTACAGATTACTGTTGATAAACAGATTTTGGAATTAATTAGTTGTGCATAATTATCCCAAGTCTCAAATCTCACTAACCGAATACAAATTTTAGGCATTTGTTAGTACATCACATAGCTACTCACAGAAATTGTTTCTTCTCAGCTGAGGCATCATTTCAAATGGAAACTTGCATATTTTCATGTTTGAACCATTTGGCTCCGCCACTTTCGCATCCAGATAGGATGGATGATAGTTTAGCAATACAGAACATGCTTTCCGTGCAGGAAATCCCAGAGAGCAGAGCCAGTATCCTCAAACTGGATTAACAGTCTGGACTCTGGAGGATTCCTGGAGGATTCTGCAGAGACCAGATATGGCAGTGTTTCTCAACCTTGGCAACTTGAAGATGTCCGGACTTCAACTCCCAGAATTCCCCAGCCAGCAAATGCTGGCCGGGGAGTTCTTGGAGGTGCAGTCCGGACATCG